CAATTTAAACAATTTAGGAGGCTAATATTGAAGAAGAAACAGGCTTTAAAGCTTACATACTCGAAGGAAGAAGAAGTGCCAACTTTGCCCTTCCAGCTACCTTTCCTATACAAATATGTTGATGGTATAATTCGCGCTGTCCGACAAGATCATTATAAAGATAACGTTAAAAGTTTTTAATTCAATCAACAAAAATATATAATTTTCTGTTGAAATGGCGAAGGACAATAAATTTGACCATTTATAGATAGGTACCAAAGTCATCCGCAAATCTATTAATCATATTATAATAGACTAAATATCAACATCACTATGCTGCTAATCACACTAAAAGTCAAAAGTGGAATACCATTATTGCAATGAAAAATAGAATAGAATACATTAGCGACTACCAATTTTTATACCAGAACGAAAACAAATTATTCCAATTGTTTCTAAATAATGGTTATCCTAAGGATATTACACGAAAACAACTAATATTTAACACACGGTTTTATGATGGACAATTAGATCAACATCCACAAGATCTTAAATATAAAACACTACCATATATTTTGAATTTAACAAACCAACTTACTTCCCTGTTTAACGACTACACAAATACAAAAAATAGCAAATACAGCAACCTTAAATATAAAACCATAATTCTATAAAATTAAAGATCGGATATGTTTGACCAGCAGCAAGCGAGAGAGAAGTGTTAGGCACTCATTTATCGTTCTAGTTAAATAGTAATTACTGAAGTAAATTTAAAAGCAATTAAGGATAAAACTAAGTGAAAGTGATTTGTATGCTGAATATTGGAATCCTGAGTAGATAAAATATACTTTTTTCATCTATTTGGATTTAGATATTTAAGTAAATTACTGCAATTAGTTATAAGTATTATCCGATTTCCATGAACTGGTATCACGGCGGAAGCTGTAAAATAGCACCGGTCTTAATCGGATTTTAAATCCATTTAAAAGATGTCATCTTTCAGTCAGCTACCACAAAATGCATCATACCTAAAAGCAGTTAGTCAACCACGTAGTACCTATATTAAATCCAAACAGAGAACAAGCTATTCTATTTAACACTCTAGAGAATTGTACAATTAATGATTATCTTGAAGGATTAAGTCAGCATATAGAACCAAAAAATATAATTTTCTCATATATATCAAACGGTAGAATATGCATATATCTATCATCTAAAAACCTAGTAGATAAATTTATAGCAGAAACAAAGAAGAAGAAACAAAGAAGGTAATTGGAAATATACTAGAAGATTAATAACTCCATCAGTCTGCTTAATTCTTTCCAATGCATGTCCAAGCATACCTTCTCACTTAATAATGGATGAATTAATAAAACAAGGTTTAAATCCTCTCTCAGACATATCATACCTACGGATAGGAGCAACCAATCCTGTCTTCAGTCATATTCTAAGCTTCCGAATAACAATGCAAATTAACTGAACACTAGGTAGCTAATTGTCCAAATATTTTACCTTCTAACCATCCTCACAATGATAGTGCAATGAAAATAGAAATGATACAAAATTCATCAATTAATCATACTCAACAAGATAATCTACAAAATACTCCCATAATCTCAAATATCACTCCCTCCACACTTACTTACGTCTTCTCAAACCACATTCCAAATAGTGGCAATCCCAAATTTATCAATAAACCAAACCCAACAATGCTCACTACACGATACATCTATACATTTGACCACTTCTTTGGTTAACACTACAATCGCAATACCTAATTTGAATATTAGAGGATCAGTTGAATCCTCTAATATCCAAAAACATAAATCAATCTCACCCGAAACAAGTCAACACTTACTCCCAAATAAAAATACGCATATAAATTCTCACGAACCCCAGATAACTTTGAACAAAGCAACCGGAAAAAGAACCCTAAACTTTGAAAAACCTAAGCTTCAATTAAAGAAAAAAATAAAAATAACGACAAAACCTTAACAGATGAGATATCAAATCTCCAGACATTATTAAAACCAATTAGAGAATATATAGAAAGGAAAAAGTAATTGTGTTAAGCTTCGATAAAGTAGTGGATCTATTCAAAAATATACAAGGATCAAAAGACATAATCAGCGTAACAAAATTGTACTCAGAAGACTCTCATGCACTTATAAAGTTTCTAACGGAATTACATCCATACTACTCGACAAAAGAATAAAAACCAAAAGCACCAATTTAATACGAAAACTTGGCAAACACATATATTTACTCCCTGCAGTGAAAATTTCATTATCGAAAGAATCGGTAAATAATTCCTCTAAAGAATAATTACATTCAATTCTCTGCTTCAATGGAACTTAAATGGGTTTTATATCCATTTTGAAAAACTAAAACATATTATCTCTGAAACACACCCATTTATTATCTGTCTACAGGAAACAAATTTCAAAAATTTAAACCATGTATATAACTTTCGTAATTATTCATGTTTCTATAATAACAGATTAAACCAAAATATTGCCAGTGGAGGAGTAGCAATTTACGTGGATGAAAAATTCATGAGCACACAGTTACCAGTGACTTCAAATAATATTGAATTAATAACTATCGCAATAAATATACCTCAAAAGATTTATATATGTAAGATGTATATACCACCAAATCAAACTATATCCCAAGAAGATTTAACAGCTATTTTGGAACAAATTCCTTCACCTAGAAATATCGTTCGAGATCTTAATTGCCACTTCCGATGTGGGGTTCCATAAAACTCAACCCGAAAGGACGAATTATAGAAGATATTATAACATTCCAAAATCTGAATCTACTTAACGACGGAAGACCAACCAGATTCAACATACAAAATGGCAGATCATCGGCAATTGATATTTCTCTGTGTGAACCAGTTTTGTCCACTACGTTAACATGGGATGTTCTACCCTACTTATATGATAGTGACCAATACCCCATTATAATTTGTTTAACGCATCAGAAAACCACAAATATCGAATATTAAAAATACTGATTGGACTAACTTTACCAAACAGATCGAACAGGACATTAACCAAACCAACTTCACATCATCAAACGACATTGACAAATTTTTATGTACATTTTTACAAACCATCACAGCAGCTGCAGAGACGTATGTAAGAAAAACAAAAATTTAAAAAAACATAAACCTCTTCCGTGGTAAACACCTGAATGCAGCCAAGCTACAAGAGTGTATAAGAAAGCTTTCAATATTCTAAAGCATCATAAAACAGACCAAAACATAACGGACTACAAAAAACGAAGAGCTGAGGCAAGATACATTCTAAAAAAGAATAGAAAAGAATCCTGGAAAAAATTCATCTCCTCTCTAAATACCTCTTCAAACATAAGTACAGTTTGAAGAAACTTAAGAAAAATCTCTGGCAAAAGCCAACCATATAAGATTCCTTTTCCAACAAAAAATAACAAAATAATTAGTCATAGAAAACAAATCGTAGATAGGTTAGCAGACCAATACGAATTAAATTCCAGTGATGAAAATTACACTGATAATTTTAAAATACATAAAAACAACGTCTCCCATAATAATCCATTCACTAAACTCACTTCACACTATCAAACGTTTATATGCCAATAATCCAATTGCCTCACACATCCAATCAGAAATAGAGATTCGAAATAATAATAAGATCACTGTTGACTTCATGTTGGTTTCATCACATTCAGGTATACAAGTAAATAAATAAGCAGATGAACTAGGCCCGTTTAGCATCCTTCAGCCAGGACTCAATTCTTATTAATGTGGTTTCTTCAGATGACTTCAAGTCAAAAATAAAATATAAAGTGTTAAGTGCGTGCAAAATAAGTGGAGTGCTTCACAAAATAAACTCAAAGAAATCAAACAATTAGTGAAACCGTGGCTCTAATCCTCAGCGAATAGGCACGACTAAGTGAGAATAATACGTTTGAGACTAGAACACAATAACTTTATACATAAATACCTCTTTACGCGAACTGTGCCGCCAATGTGTGAAAATTGTCAAGTAACACTCTCCGTGAAGCATATACTAACTCAGTGCAAAACATATGAAGCAGGAAAGAAACACGCTATCCCAAATAATATAAAGGAAGCCTTAGGAAAAAACATGAGCATTATTTTTTCTATCTTTACCTGTATTATATTTTTTAGGTCGCTAATAACACTTGTGGTTACAGATTAAATAAATAATAAAAAAAAAGATCGGATACCAGTGATATATAATAGCAATGTTTATTACAATTACAGTGTTTAGGTTGCCAGGTATGTTATATTGGACAAACCGGACAGTGGCTGAAACAGCGGATCACACAACACAAAAGTGACTGCAACAGGAGAAATAAAACATGCGCTGTTGTCGAACATTTTATAAAAACAGGCCACCAGTTTGATTATGACAGCGTGAAAATATTGCAATCATTAAGCAATTATAAAAATAGATTGTCTCTCGAGATGTGTCATATCAATAGAACTAAGAATGCCATTAATAATAAAACAGACACTAGTAATCTTAGTAATATATACCTATTGTAACAGTTTAAATACTTTATAGTAACGTCAAAAATACCATATACATCTATATAATTTTATTTAGGCTTTAATATCTACGCAAAAAAACTTACTGTATTTTAAAATTGGCATTAGTAATTATTTTAGTGTAATTCTTAAAGTCCTTTGATGTGCTGGTTTTTATTTTAAGGATTTCACCCTTTGAGTTTTTATTTGTTTGTAAGTATGTTCGATGTAATAATTATTTTTAATAATAATAATTTAATAATAATTTAAAAGCTAATACATATTAACGAAATATCGAGTTTGACGAGAATCATTTTATTTTTTGACCGAAAAACTGCTAGTTTTTACTAGTACTTCACTAGTTTATCAAATATATATATACAAGTGTATATGATTATTTTGTTACTCTTAATCCACACAAAATTTTTACAATGTGAAAATTTTATTCAGTGTTAGTAAGGAAAAAATACCAAAAACATTAGAAAATGGGTTTTCTGAAACTGTTCTTAAAACTATACCTGTTATATCGTTTATTTCGCAGAGGCCGTTTGTTCTTGTCTCGCAACCCGTTTCCTGTTCTTGTATCCATTTTTTTGAAATAACAAACCTCGAAAGTGTCACTTATAGCTTGAAAAAATGTTGCATAAAAATAGATATCATGTTGGATAACAGTCAAAAACAAGATGGTCGGTGTCGTGTTATTTGATATTTTATGCACTTGTAAGTGGTGTCGCTTAAATTCATTTACATAAATAAAGATTTTATTAGCTAAAATAAATAAACTAGATGTAAAAATGTTCAAAAATCTCTTTGCATTGAAAAAATCCCGAAGCAAAATCCGTAGATCATGTTTAACATTACAAAACAGCGACTATCTTGTCTGACTCATCTAAAAACATGATTAACATTTAAAAATATATTTCATGTTTCCGTTGGTATTGTTCCCAAATTAAAACAAGGATATTTTTTAAAACCGTTTAATACACTTACCTAAAGTAAAAAAAATGTGCACTGCAGCTTTAAAAATTTTCTTGTTGGGGTCTCCGAGATGTAAACAGCCGTAAAGATTATGAAAAACTGACTTACACAGTCTGGGCACATCTAGTGCTGTTTTATTTTGAGAGCTTTCAGTCTCCCGCATAGTGTTTTTGTAATTCCTAACCACTATTTTAATTCTGATGAAGACAATTATCAATACTCGTGGTCGGGTCTTCTCCCGATTAGCGTATGTGACATTTTATTAAGACGATATAATCTAATTTAAATCTTTTAGAAATGTTGTGTATCCATTATAACAGAAACATAATTATTAAAATATATATTTAAATGAAAACATACATTTATTAATGAATTCATATTAAATAATAGTTTGTTTTTTATTTGTTTCACATTTATTATCTTTACACCTTCAGATAATTTACAGTATCTTCATCAGTGGTTCATTTCTATACCAAATACATATATTTGCTATTTTTTACTGACCCAAATTTTAGCAGCCTAATGACTGACTTCAAAAATCTCCACGAGTTCCAAATATAGATTCTATGCCGTCAATTTGCGACTATTTTGCATTCAAGTTTAAAATCATCGACTTACATGGTTCACTGAGCTGAACGGGATAATGGTAAATTCTTCCACCAATATTTGAAGCATTGTGGAAAACACGTTCTATATACACTAAGTAATAACATTATGTACAACAAATGTTAAATATTTTTTACTTAATTTATTGTAACCTGTTAATTGTTATTTATAGTCTGATCAAATAAAATAAAATCAAAATGTAATTCGGTATAAGTTGGAATAAGTTTTATATCAAAGTTTAGGTTTTGGTAAGAGCGCCTACCTTTAAACCTAAAGGTCGTGAGTTCGAATCTCACCTGCTTGGAGAAATTTTCGTTTATTAAAAATTAATGAATGAAAATAATTTCTATCCTTGTGCGATCGGTACTCACCGGAGGGACCGCAGACGTTCGGATACAATTAGCGTCTCTTACCAAAGAGAATGACGTCGACTTTGCTAAGTATCAAGACAATTACTCTACACACATACACACACACTACATTAGGTACCTGACTGTACCATGCCAATGACCATTAGTTGTCGAGGCATTAACACAATAAAAAATTTAAAAAAAGTTTAGGTTAAAACAAAAAGATATTTTTAAGCAAGTACAGTGGTACTGATACACGAGCGCCCTATTATACGAGTGTTTTGAGATACGAGCCGCGGAGCGAGCGATATTTTGCTTTGAGATGAGAGCCAGATTTGAGATACGAGTAATCGGTTTTTATTCAAATTGATACCTCTCACTTGACCTTCTAATTTGCTTTGTAAATAAAAGGTAGTTTTACTGTTAATAGATCTTTACGGCCTCGCCACAAAGATCATTTTACTGGTCTGTGCTTGACTATTACTTGGACCTACAAATTAAATGATCATTGAAAGTTAAATCCGACAAAAATTCGGATTCTAATACTAACCATATTCCACTCTCCATGTAATTTACACTGTGTAAATTTTTATTATAGACCTCAGTCTGTCTGCTTTGCTTGTTTTCCTCATTTTCGAAGTATTGTTGATAAGTTGGGTCCGAGTTTTGTGCTTTTTGTACATTACAATATTACATTTATTTTTACAACCATCGGTTCGAAGAAGAAGGTGATCTCTATTGAACTAAAATGCGAAATCATTGAAAAACATGAGCAATATGTACGAGTAGTCCTTCGCCGAGTGTACATAACGGCAGAGGAGAAGACAATGCCAGGTCACAAACCTATTGTTACAATGAATATATTATGACGTATAAAAACTGTAAATATATTTACTCATTCACGAATGTTCTAGGTCAGATACTAACGAATTCTACAAAAGGGTCGGATAACCAGTTTAGCCGTCGGCGACGATTCTCTGAATTTACCAGAATGCGATTGACTTTTCGAGACCGGCTGGATGAGTCACCTACTGGATGTAACGTCATCGGTGCATCCCCAGACTTTTCGAGATAGCGGCATTTTATATATAAATACAAGATCTACTCGCGCTTCCCGATGACTACTCACTGGCCTTTACTATCCCGGCCAGTATCAAAGACGCACCAGGGTTGGCATCTTTCTTTCGAAGGAAGTTCGGTCGAGTTGCAGAACTTCAATGCCAAGTGCCAGCTGCCGGTAAAACCTTGAAACTCCAAGATGCATCACGTTAACTTTTCTACCTGGTAACAAAAGACACTGCCCGTGACCAACCTACCTACCGAGATGTATGGGAAGCCTTACTTCAGTTGAGAGAGCACGTACTAGAGTGAGACGTACAAAAGTTAGCCATGCCAAAGTTGGAGTGCCGCCAATTAGATTGGAGGGTTATACGAAATATGGTGGAGGAGATCTTTAAAGACACCGATGTCCAGGTGTTAGTCTGTTGCAATCCGCATAGTTCCTGGTGCGGAGAGAAAACCGTCCCTTGTCATTTTTATACAACTGGAAGTTGTAAAAGAGGGTCCAGTTGCCGATACCAGCATACCGTTTCAGTTCCAGTCCCGACAAGGTTCCCGGAGGAACCATCTTTTAAGAGGGGGGCAATGTTACAATGAATATATTATGACGTATAAAAACTGTAAATATATTTACTCATTCACGAATGTTCTAGGTCAGATACTACCGAATTCTACAAAAGGGTCGGATAACCAGTTTAGCTGTCGGCGACGATTCTCTGAATTTACCAGAATGCGATTGACTTTTCGAGACCGGCTGGATGAGTCACCTACTGGATGTAACGTCATCGGTGCATCCCCAGACTTTTCGAGATAGCGGCATTTTATATATAAATATCATGAATTTTATTGAAGGAGTTAGTGAAGAAAAGAAACTCGCGGAACGTGGTTTAAAATGTACGAACGTGATAAATGATTGTAAAGTAATTTAATAAATTGGTAATAAATTATTGTGAGTTTTAATAAATTAGAATAAAGACAGTAAATTAGAATAAAGACAATAAATTAGGACTGATAAAATTATTATACTATGAAAGATAGGTTAACTCTAATATTTTTGCCAATGCGAATGGCGACTGTAAAATCAAACCTCTTCTAGTATATCATTCAGAAAATCCTAGAGCTTTTAAGTCACATAAGATTTTAAAAGAAGATCACCAGAGAATTCTTTGTGGAATATATAAACCTGGTGTTTACCCCTTCTGTTAAAAAATATCTACAGGAAAACAACCTACCCATGCAAATCCTTCTTGTCCCCGATAATGCCCCTTCTCACCCACCAAATCTCGAAAATGATTTACTCCAAGAGTTCAAGTTTATAAAGATTCTCTATCTACCAGACAACACCACTCCTATCTTGAAGCCCATGGATCAGCAAGTGATTTCTAATTTTAATAAGTAGCACATTTTTCGGCGCTGCTTTGAGGTGACGGATAACCTTACCCTTCGAGAGTTTTGGAAGAACCATTTTAACATAGTAATATGCCTAATAATGATTGAGCAGGCCTGGCTAGGTGTTACAACAAGGACCTAAGCCTCTGCATGGAAGAAGATCTGGCCTGAGGTTGTAGATGAAAGGGCCTGCGAAGGACTGGAACCCGAAGTGTCAGTGGTAGATAAGATTGTTTCTCTTGGAAAATCCATGGGTCTGGAGGTGGATGAAAGAGATATGAACGAACTTGTCGAGGAGTTAGATGAACAATATTCGCAGCAGCATACGGAGGTTCAACGAAAAATTAGTTTTGAAGAGGAGCCAGAATTGAAAGACGTTGTCTCTACAAGAGATATACAGGAGATCCTGGGAATGTGGGAGAAATTTACAGAGTTCGTTGATAAAAATCACCACCCGAAAAAGTTACAACTCGTCGAGTATCGGTGTTGTTCAACGAAATTTGCCCAGCACATTTTCGCAATATTCTGAAAGGGAGGAAGAAACAAACCTCCTTGTACAGTTTTTTTAAACGATCTGCAGATGAAAATAAGCAGTGTGACGAAAAAAGTGAAGACCACTGACAAAAATTAAGCGCTTCCGTAAGCACTTCACTTTTTCTGATGATTTTACAAAATATGTAAGTATTTTTTGTTACTTATAAATAAATCTTCCTTCTTTTAAATGCATGTTGTTATTTCAAAACAACAAAACTGGACTGGACGGGACTGGAACGGATTAATGACATTTCAGTTACTTTCAATGGGGAAAATTGCTTTGACATACGAGCAATTTGCCATATGAGCAAGATTATGGAACGAATTACACTCGTATGTCGAGGTACGACTGTATATGATTTATATGTACATGGTGTAAAAAAAGGTAGGTCATAAATTAAATCACATATTCTGGGACCAAAAATAGTTCGACTGAACCCAACTTACCTTAGTACAAATGTGCACATAAAAAAAGTTATCAGTATAACTAATAAACCAAGTATAAAACTTATACTCAGAATAAATCAGGTATAGGCAAAATCACTACCAATAAAGACGGAATAACTTAGATACAGGTTATACTTGATATAAGAATTTATTCCAGGATTATATCGACCAACACTCTAGTTTAAGTCTGGTATAACGGTATAACCTATTTCATGAATGTCAAAGTAATCAGTGGCAAGAATATATTATTTTTTGTATTGTGTTGTGTGTAGCTATAATAATAAAAAATGTGTTTAAGAGGTATTACGGCTGTCGAGGAAGTTGATAATTTAATTAACATGATGAAAACACGCGAAAAAGAAAAACTTTTAAAGAAAGAATAAATCCCTTTTCAAAATACACAGATAGAGAATTTAGAGTAAAATATCGGTTTTCTAAAGATGGTGTAAGGTTTTTTGCAATTTTAAAATACTAAAATGCTAAAACCTCAACATATTTATAAGATAACGAATAAAGATATATATGGTGTCAGTCAGTTGTCATTGTCAGTTTAACTCAGTTTCAAAGAAAAATAAAAATTGACATATTTCACTCAATATGTCGTTCTTCTATGTATTTTTACCATCGAGTTAGATTCCAACTCGATGATTTTTACAAAAGATTGCGACATTGACAAACTATTATTTCGGAATAAAAGTGGGAATACTTATAACTAACTTATACCGAGTTTATTTGTAACAAATTATTTTAGTATTATAATATTTACCTTATAATTAGG